CCCTCCCCGCAGGCACCATGGCCTCATCCACAGAGGACTTTTTCCCTGCCACAGATAAGGATAATTTGCTCATTAGCTTCCCTCCTTCTGAGCTGTATCATACTGACTCGACAGTGAGTCCTGGCTCTCACTTCAGTCATCATGCCACACTTGATCAATTTAGAGGAACAAGGCTACTTCCAGAAGGAGAAAGGGTCTGGCCAGGGGTCCTCTCTCCCCAGCCTGCCACTCCAGACAGGGCAAGTGCAAGAACAGAAAGAGTGCAAAGCACTTGAACGAGAGGGTCACCATTTGCTTTAAGAACTGAGATGTTCCTCGGTTATAATTATGTTGAAGAGCTTTATGTTTTTCAGTTCAGAGTCATGGGGTTTGTGCAATCATCCTTGAGAGGAGTATAACAGTATTACAGTTTCAATGACCAGAGTGTAACACAAAAACAGCTGCAAAGGCTCTAAAACACAAACAGCTCATCTTTGCTAACCAGGAGGAGGGGAAGAAAAAGCACTTTTGGCAGCATTACAGTAAATTCATAATCATGTTCTACTCTCTCAACTTCATTAAAAGTAAGAAAACTTTCCCAAACTGCTGCATACTCAAAAGTAGAAGTTGTGAGTTTGGATACTCAACATTGATGGGACACAAGATGAAATGTTGTACTGAACGTTAAGGGCACTCTGCAGAAACTTCTACGAATGGCTTAAAGATAAAACTCAGTGTTCACATTAACACGTGTTATATTATTGGGAGCATTACATATAACTCCTTATCACAAATCTGCTTGGGTTTAAACATTTTCCTCAAAGCTCCCACAGAGTGTCCCATGAAGAACCTGAAAATGAAACCTACCAGTCAAGTTACAGGCAGAAGGGAAACCTGCCTAGTTAATCATTAATAGTCAAGCTGAAACACAGAAAATAAAGCCAACATGCACTCCAGGGTGTACATACACATTCTGTCATAAATTAAGTTAGTCACTTGATGCTTTTTTTAAAAACTAAGAATCATGCATCTTGTTAACCTTCCAAAATGGTAACATGCAGAGCCACAGCTGCTGTCTCTCCTCTGAATTCAATACAGCATCGACAGCTTCTAGCAGCTATGGATCCACTTATGAGGCCTTGACTCAGCAGAAACCTAAACATGGAATTTATTTTAAATATATGCATAATTATTCTGCTGACTCAGGTTAGCTGGGCTGACTTCTGATGTCCAATGTTTGTCTGAAAACACAAGAGCAATTTAGAAGCTGTATGCAGTTCCATGCACTCACCTAGCTTCATCTGTTCAGACAAGAGCTAAGTTTCAACCTGGGATGGACAGCAAGCCCTGCAGCCCCTTCCCCTTGGGAACAAGGGCGTAAGGGAAAGGAGGCACCTTGGAGATCACCATGACGCCCCTAGGGACTGCATGGATCTGGGAGGTGCACCAGGGTCCTATTTAGACTGCACTTATTTAGACTTCATATGGATTTTTTTTAGTAGTCAAAGACAAGTAAAAGAATGAACATTATACCCGTAAGGTCTTTTGAAATGTGAGACCTTAATTTACACACAGACTTGTCATTTTACCAGATATACTCTAGCAAACTTCCAAAAAGGACCCCTAACACCTTTTTTGTTTTGTTTGGAAAGCTTGGTGTTTTCCCCATCACTTCAAGCTTTGGAAACACCTTTATTGCGGTTAACACACCTACTCAGCAAACACAGTTTCTAATAAACGCTCTTAAATGCCCAGCCTGAACTTTCAACTCGGCCACATGGAACCAGAACAAACAGACCATGCACAAGCCAGAGAACAGGCAAACCCCAACATATGCAGCCCCTCAGTGCTAAGGTGGGGTGCCCAACCTGTAGTGCTCCTGCTGGGACAAGCCACTCAGCCCACGGCCCTTTCTCCCAAACATCCTCGGGATGCAGGCAAGGAGCAAGGAGCTGCTACGCATGCTGCAGCCATCGGCTACGAGAGGGAGCCTCTGCAGCCTGATGCAGCAGGGAGAGAGGATGCCAATGCCATGATGCAGATGAGAAAAGTAGAGGGTTATATCTGAGTTCTTCGATCTGAAGTTGCGCAAAGCAGAAGAAAACCACTTTCCCATTCAGTCACAGCAGAAAAAGCTTGAAGGATGTTTTTAGTAGCATGCACGCTATTTAAGCAAATCCAGAATTCGGCAAACATCTCACTTGCCCACAGACAATCGTAAGGTTAATTCAAAAATAATTCCTATAAGTGCTAGGAAGGGAATGAATTGGTTGTTTTAGAGTTTCCATAGGTGAGTCAGTAACTTTACAGAAAAATCAAAGGGACAGGACCTGCTTGAGGAAGAACAGAACAAAAAAAGTCTGAGCAACAGGGAAACAGGAGAGTTGAAGACACAGTAAGACATTCATGCACTCAGCCACATGCTTCCCAGGACAGTTTCGCCCAAGAGTTTCCCTGCCTGTAGTTCAAACCTCATTTGTCACTTAAAGCAGAATCGCTTCTGCAACTTTATCATTTTATAAATAAACCCCTTCTTGATTTTTTTTTAGCCCTCAGTGACAGCAAGAGCAACATACTTCACCACGTAGCACATTAAACAGATCTGTCAAGGTGGGTACGTACAAAAAAGTTTTCATAACATTTGACACAGCACTCAGACCAATGCTTTATTCTTTTGAGGCAGGGATCAAAAAGGCAAAGAGGGGAAAAACCACCTGCTACTGTTTTTTCCTTCTATATCTAGCACTGTAGATAACTTGCAAGAAGACAGGGCGAAATTCCTCCCACCCACTCGTGCTGGGAACCCACAGGGCCAGCAGCTCTGGGCACTCATTGCCATGTCCATATGAGCCTCAGCACCTCACCGCACCTCTCCTCACCAGGGGCCGTGAGAACAACCCTCAGTTCCTCAAAAATACTGCAGCTCCTCCCTTCCCCTGTACTGGCTACCTGCAAGCCTTCATCGCTTCCACATTCCCCATACGCATCTCTCTGCGACCAGCTTTAACCCCACCTCAGTCCCATTGGGTTTGTGCTCTGGACTCAAACACCACGTGTGTGACAGCAGTTCTGAGGGACACAGCACAGAAATACAGCAGGTTCACTGACAACTCCACAAGCATATCTTAACAGCAAAATTAATCAAGAGAATGACATTAAAAAAAAAAAAAAAAAAAGTCTTCAGTCATAGCATAGCTGCTATAAAAATGATAGCAAAATGAGGCCTGTTCCACTCCCCGCTCAAAGATGTTTAATCCTGAAGGAGGACAAGACACCAGTGTGCTGACCCTCATCACTAGACATGGCACACATTTGGGGAGGGAGACAGGAACCCAGAAAATTCAAGGAGAAAGTCTACTTGCTTTAACCACTGCTGAAAGACACCTACGGTGGCATCTGCAGTATGAAAACACTGGGGTTTTTTTTTCCAGAAGGCTTTAAGTGCTTCTCCCTCCTCTTCCCACCTTACAGGAAATGCTGTCTCTTCCTCCAGGATTGCAGATTGATTTATTCAGTACTCAGAAGCAGGATAAAAGGGAGGTGGATAGCTGTCAATTCATAGAAACAAGTTCAAAAACGGTTCCTTCCTTTCAGATCACAGGCATGCTTTTCTCAGCTCTCACCTACCATGCATTGAGGGCTGCTTTGTATCGCACGGGGACAAGAAGCGATGAGACCAGAAAAGGGGGGAAGAAAGGAAAAGAAACGGAGGGAATATCACAGACTCTCTAAAGCTGTTGATCTGAAGTCAGACAATTCATCACACAGAATGAGAAACATGTTTACGCATCACCCAAAACTAAAATCTTGTCACAAAAAATATCATGTCCCCCTAAAGATGACCACTCTGATTTAAAACACTAAACTTTTCCACGGTCAGACTGACACACAGAGCTTACTGAGCTAAGCTCCCTCTTGCTGGCTTCCGTCTCTCCCTCCCTCACCCCTCATCTGAAGTCAGCTAAAATTCAAGACCAGTTTTCCAGTCACGTGGCTTTCTACCAGCATAATTATTGACTCACCTATTAGGAAGGCCAGTTAGAGACTGCTTGCCTGTTCTGAGTAACACTTATACAATTTAAAAAGTTCAACAAACTCCCTGCCCCAGCATTTATTCTGCTTCTCCCTGGGCTCACAGTTTTTAGGCAGGAGGGGAAGCACAAGTTGCAACCTGCAGGCTGAGAGCTGCTCAAAGAACACTTCCTACCCGGCAGGGAAGAGCCCGATGCCGGGAAGGGGAACCAGAAAGCCTGCTTCTGTACAAGCTCCATATAATTTTTCCAAAGCTTGGTGGGGTTTGCACTCGGCCAAGTAAAACCCTTAGTGGTGGCAATGCTGCAGTTATCAGTGATGCATGTTTCCATTAACATGATGATGAAACTCCTGTGACAAGACGGTGGTGGGAGAGCAACAGGAGCACGAGATTCCACTGCTAAAAGACAGATTGCCTTTGCGGAGAACTCCCTTTCTTTTCTTACTCATCTTTAGTTTTCTATGGTTGCCAAGTGCCCTCCCCCTGACAACAACCCATGCCACCTTCTCACACTCTGAGGAACAATGTAAGGTTTAGGTGATTACAGGCTGTTAAAAAAAAAAAAAAAAAAAAAGAAGAAAGGTGGTAGAAAGGGAGAACAGTGAGAAATGTTAATAGTTACAGAACATTTACATAATGGATTTTCTTATATTATTCCAAAGATTCTAAAAAATTTTACAGGTATCTGCACAAGTCATGTGACAGTGTCAACGTTCCTAACAGGAATAAGTTAGCAGCAAGAGCTCTATTTTAAAACATGATTGACTTTGTACAAACAGTTTTAAGGCTTTTGTATAAGAACATTAGACAGCAGCTTCAGAATATGATTTAAATGACACATAGTAATTGTACCCTGGTGTTCAAATACGTACCAGGAATACATTACAGGGGACCGAATTATTACAATAGAAAGTCCTATCGCTGTTCAATCTTTGTCAATGAGCACAGCACAAAAGGTTTTTAACAGTCCAAGTATGAAGCAAGTTACCTTTCTTTGCTTTCTTCTGTAGCTTCAGTGTGTCAGATGATTTCTTTTTTATCTCTTGGCGGGCTTTTTTGTATTCTGAAAAAATACACAGTCTCTATTGTCAACATACTCTATGTCAAAATGAGTGTTTTTCATAGAAAAGGCTATGTTTAAAGACATTAGACTACAAATTTTAAGAGGACAGCTACTATTAATTAAAGCAACTTAGAACTCGCATTTTGTAGTGCCTAATATAGGCACTACAAAATGCTAATATAAGCTAATATAGCTTATATTATATAGCTAAGCTAATATAGGCTTAATATAACATTCTAGGGTGTGAGCACATTCACATACCAAAATCTTTCCCAAATAAACAAAGCCTTTACAGAAATAACAACTGAGAACACAGTACAAAATTAGAGTGCTTTTCATTTCAGAGACTCATCCACTCTCAGGAATGGAAAACAGAGATGACAGGTTTCTCGAAACATCTGTGTTCAAAAACAAGTATCCAGAAATGGCAAACAGAGAATATCCTGTGATCCCTCTCCAGCATGAGAGTCAGGCAGAGGGAGAGGGTACTAAAACTTTGCCCAAGGAAGGGTCACATTGCCAGCTCTTTCTGATGAAGTGGAACACACTACAGTTGTCCTGATTTTCGATGAGCTGCAAATCCTGGGAGAATTAAAGTCCCAGAACAAAATATTCCACCTCTAGTCCAGGCACACTAAAGGTACCAGAGAAGAAAACTGATACTTAAAAAAAAAAAAAAAAAAATATAAAAGGCATGTATGCATGTATATACATATAGACATACACTTTAACAAAGGGAGTCAATGTTATTACTCTTCTATAGATGGAAAAACAGAAGCAGGCTGTTGGCAGGCACAGGAACCGTCCCGGGGCCAACTGCACCCCCAACACCCAAGCCTACCTACTAAACCCTAAATCTCACTGCCACTTTGGCCAGGGTCACCCCTACCTGCAGGAACCCAGGTGATTCCTCCCTCCTGCTCACTATCTGCTTAACACTCTGCAGCACAAGGTGGAAATTTTTTCAAGAGCTGCTGATTTAGCTGCTTCTATTTGACCACAGTAATAGTGGGGCAAGAAGCAAATCTCTTTTGGAGGCCAAGCACACTCCTTCCCATCAGTTCTCACCCTCCCCAGAATAAATTTTGGTGATGCTGCTTCTTTCAGACATAGCAAAAGTCTTCAATTTTCAAAGGGTCAGTGGTGAACTGCAACCTGCTTTCAGTACCCATGGCTAGAGGGCCATCATCCCCAATACAAGTTTTGCAGGGCATCTACCAACATGTTTTTTGCTGTACAAGACTGCTGCCTCCTGCCCATTCCCCCAGGAAAGTCTCTGGAGCTGCCATCAGCACTGCAGCCCTGAGCATCCCACGCCCAACGACACAGCTTTCCCGTCCCCCAGGTGCACATTTCTGTATGGCATCAGATATAAAACAATGATGGTGAATGTTTTACAGGGCTGTGCTTTCTCTGGAGAGCACTATGTCTAAGACATAACATGGTCTTACAGTTAGCTTTTAACTACACCCCGGGGCTTTGCAGAGATAGATGCGGCATCCCCAATCCTCAGCACTATTGGAGATCATAAAGTGAGAGTGGGCGAACAGAGTTCAAAGTAGTCACTGCTTACCAGCCTGGAAAAACAACCCATCCCTTGAGGTCCTGCAAACTAAACCTTCAAAATGGATATGCAGGGGTTAAAAACTTGTTAGGCACTTTGGGAAAGGAGTGTTTTAGAAGAGAAAAGTTGCTATACATATTTAAGCACGTCATTCAGTTCCCCAGTACAAACATGAAAAGAGGAAGAAAAGCTGATATTACAATCTTACTCCTATTAAAGAATTCTTCCTCTGTAACTACCTTTTGCATGGTCTTTATCCAGTTGATTGGCCACTTTCTTCCACTCTTCCATCTGTTCTTGAAGTGGGTTTATCAGACAGTCAATTAAAGCACTAATTTTGTTGAAAAAACACAAAGAGCAATCAAATCCTGCAGATGCCCCTATTCTTATATAGAGAGCCAAGGTCAATATTGGAGTATTTTTACTTTTTGCTGCGGCAGCTACCAGTGTCACAATGTAAATATCAGAACATAAAAATGTTTATGCTGGAGAAAGCAAAAGAAAGGACTGGATTAAAAAAAAAAAAATCCACATCACAAGATAACCAGAATTACTGCGCAGAAGTTCAGGACAGTGAGGAACAGAGCGTAAAACCAGAGGAGTAACCCGAAACAGGGCCAATGTAAACAATTAGAACCTACTCATCTGTCACACAAAGGGCAGTTTAAATGGATACTCTGAAGACCGGAAAGGTTCATGCAGCCACAAAGATTATAAACCTAAATAACACATGTATATGCACAAGAAGACAGCAATTGTACAAGGAAACAACATCCTGCCCACCGATGTGCCTCACCTCTCATCAGTGGAGTCCATGATGCAGCACTAGTAATGCTCCACTAATTAATGAGATTGGGATCGAATCATTTAAACAGCCAACTCTGGGGTAACTAGAGACTAAAGTTGTCTCCTCACAGCCAATTTCATAAATATCTTTATTTTAAAAGGGAAGAAACTACCCCTGGCCATCAGGCAGGTGAAGCATCATTTTGGTTCACCTCAGGTCAAGTATAACTTTTAAATCTGGTTAAAAAAGGCACACATGCAAACTACTACTTACTACAGAAGTAGGCTGTTTATGTATAGCCCAGCTTACACATGAGTTGATCCTCTCCCATTACCTCTACAGTCTAACTTTAACTGCAAAAAGGGGATGAGAGAATTTGCCTTTTCCATACTTGTTTTCTGGAAGTTTCTCTCTTGGCCACAAGCTGTTTGGGCTCTCCAGTAAGCTGAGGAAGCAGCACAACACTTGCGGCTGCTTTAAAACTTAGTGACAAAGCCTAAAGTCCTGAAAGAAAGGCAGGTTGGTCACATCAGCAGCCACCTGCTCAGCACCAAGCAACAGGAACCGACTGGGAATTTGCAGCATTTAGAGTGATTTGAGGTGGCAAACCCTGCATGCTCACAACACCTGGTGTGCTGCGGGGGAGAAAACGACTGCTGTTCTCAGTGACAGGGTCAGAGATCAGCTGGAAAGCCAGCGCTGGTGAACAGCTTCAGGTGTTCCCCAGTAGCAAATGAAAGACAAACCTCGAGCTCCAGGCCAGGTACAGAGCCACTCACCTTGAGAACTGCCGCAGTTTGGACTCTATACTTCTGTGCCTCATACACATCCTGGTGAGAGCAGACCCAATCTCTCTGGTACCACCTGAAAAAACAAACCACAAGGGCAGGTGAGACCCCTGACGAGATTCCTGCTTGTGGTGTGGGCACGTCAACCAGCAGGCAGGTGCCAAGTCTTCCAGAGCAGCTGTAAAACAGGTTCATAATAACTGTAGAATCAACCAGGCAGACCTCAGGGGTATCTCCCACCTTGGGAAGAGATTAATTCTTGTTCATCCAGAGACCAGAACTGAACAATTAAGTGTGATTAAAAAACAGCTCCTCCCAGCAGCTTCATGTACCATGAGGTACACTCAGTACATAAAGTCCTTCCTTGGCAGAAGAGTTAAAAGAAAAGGGTTTGAGATGTCAAAAGGCAAGAAGCAATGCTGGCAAGCAGGTAGGCTTGTTTATTTTCACACGGACAGTTTATTTCCACATTTTGCAAATAAGCCTAGGCGATTCGATCCGATTTTCCCATCCCTAGATTCTCTAGACCTACTACCTCAAAAAGATTTTGCTCCTCCAGAATACGTAACTAATCCTCCACGTTGCCCCGTGTATCCCTGACACCTACCATCAGTGTACCACCCAACCTGCCACCTCAGACCACGCACATATTTTTCATGACATTGCCAGAAGATGGCACTATTTGCTCTATACCCTCGCCTCGGTTTCTGACAACTGCATGACAGCAAGAATAATTTTTTGCAAGTGTTCCTCCTCCGAAGTTTTCCCTTTTAAAAGCTCACATTCCTCCATTTCCCACTTTAATCAGCATTACCAGCTTTGATCAGCCTATTAAATGTCAATGTAATTTCAGTTTGGTTAGTGTTAGTTTTGACAATTGCTCAGTTCCTATTTGCAAGCCCAATCTACTATTCTCAGTGTACAAACATCAACCATTGTACGAAGCTTTTCCAAACTGTAGTATTCTCCAAAACGGTGAAGATATCAGCTTCTATTTAAAAGTCTCGTTTTATTATTAAAATAACCTTAGACTTGTAATGTACAGTAAAATATCTTCCTCGGGCTTTAAGAATGGTATTGTGCAAGTAAAAAATATTTTCCTAGTAAAGGAACTCGAAAATTTTAACCATTTTATTTATTTTTTTAAGCACGAAAACAAGTCACCATCTTCCTGCATTCTTGCAGAATTAAATCCTGTGCCCACGAAATGGCTCTGGAACAAAGACACTAAATAACTGGAACAAATTGTGGCTATTTGGTATTTTCCATTGTTCAAAAAGATAAACAGAAAGTCCTTTGTCACTTGCCCAATTACTCATGTTTTCATAAGGAGCTTTTGAAATAATATTATTTGGTAACACTGAAGAGCTGTAGCCTCGCTGCGTACGGGTGGCTGGGAAAAGCATATGTGCTCCAGCCTGGACCTGGACCCATCTCTTCCGGCGACGCTGCACTTGCACAAGCTGTGATAGACTCTGGTAACTCGACAAGCAATTCAGGAGATGGGGAAGGCGTAATGGAGAGAAAGCAACTGGAGGAAGAGGACAAAGTCCACAACCAAAAGCGGATCTCTGTCTCAGTACATGGCCATTTTTCTTTGACGCCACTGCCAAATAAAAATAACTTGGAGCTTAATGTGGCACACCACCAATGGCAGGGATGGAGAAATGAACCAAACGCTTCCACGGCCATCACCAGCACAATGCCCACTTGAGTTTAAGCAAAAGGCAGGTTTTTCAGGTAGAAAACTCACTGAAATACCAGAATATTAAGGACTGTCAATGGTTAAGTGATACTGCTTTCCTAAGCCTGTTACATGAAAAAAGGAAGAGTCTTTCAGAACAATAAATAGGAAATAAGGCACCATGTGTTTTGGAGACTAGGAAACAAGGGTCAGTTACTATTAATATTAAATTGCAAGGTAACATAATTTTAACTAAAACCCCAATAACCCCAAAACCCAATTTCCTCAACACATAGTACATATGGATGGGCAGGGTCACCAAAACAGCTATACAAAGTTAGGTCTATGCATTGGTAGTTGTGCTTGTTTAAAAAAAAAAAACACAACAAAATAAATAAAGCCTGGAAAAAAACCAAAAAACCACCCCAAACCCAACTGGTTGGGGTTGAGGGGGATTACTGGTTCTTCCCACCTTTTGAAACTTCATGTTAACCACAAGTGTACAAGAGCATGGAAGTATGAGGTGTTAATTTTATTCTGTGAATAAAGACTCTGCTAACAAAGTGAAGGAAGAGGCTAAAAAATGGTTTCAAGAAGTTTTTAAAGCCCCTTCTGGAAACAAGGTGTTGCAGAAGATTGGTTTAGGAGCCTGCTTGAGAAGGGGAAGGAGGGATACTGCTGGAAAGTTTGGGAGGGCTGAGCCAGTGCCCCAGCTCAGTCAGCGTGGGCGGACCCTGGGAGGGCTGCGGGGAGCGGGTTGGGGCTGGCGAGGCTCCATTTTAACATCCTGTGCCGAGGTGTGCGGGGAATCGGACAGGGCTGGCGAGGGTCAGCGAGGTGACTTGACCTCCTGAAGCAGCAGCTCTTGCCAACCATTTGTTGAGAAAGGTGCTATTCAGCCCTCCCTGAAGAGTGCATATCCCTCCCAAACAGCACTTAGAATTATAAACACAATCTGCCTAAAAACGAAGTTCTGGGGAACACAATCGCTCCAAATGGCTACAAGAAAAAACGATTCCAATTCCTCTGCAAAATCATAACTTGCTACCTAAATCAACTGAGTTTACAATAAACTGAACTCAGAATAAAACAAGTTTAACTCCCTTGGAAACGAGATTTCCACAGTACCGCAAAATATTGACATAACGCATGCAGCCAGGGCATGTCCCCTATACATCTCTTCCCAGCCGCCCTCTCTGCCCCTCTCGCTATAGGACCATTTAAAGAGCTCCCTACAGCCTCTCACCACAGGGCTCACAATGCTGCTGGACGCAGACAGGAGTGAGCTTTGGTTTTGTGCCTCACAGCCTTCTCATTCGCAGCCCGCTGCCATCTCACCACGCGCCTGGCAGCTTACGGCCCCGCGGTGTCCCAAAAGCGCCTGGGGGGCGGGTGGCAGGCACGCGCTGAAAAGCTGTCGTGTGCCAGCAGCTTCAGCCCCAGAAAGGGGGAACTGGTCTTCATTCAACACACGCTGCTACAATAAAGTCACTATGCATTTTCAATTCCCCTTTAATAGCTAACGTTACCAGCGGCTAATTAAGTGTAGGAGAGAAAACCTTTGCAAGAGACAAGGAGCTTTTTAATTTTGGCACTCACTGGATCAGCAGAGGTAGAAACTGTGTCCAAGTGTCCCTACATACCTGTTCCCAACTATATTATCTGCAAAGAATCAAAATGCTTCCTGAGAAGGCAAAAAAAAATTTACACACAGACCTCTCACCACCCCTTGATTTACTGAGTTGGAGCACCGTGGCATTACCCATGCGTCCAGCAGCCCTTCCAGGAACATGTGTGGCTCAAAGGGTTTCTCTCGGCTACCGGCAGGCTTCTGCAAAGGCTGGTTCCCACCAGCAGAACTACACTGGTGCCCCAGTTTCCAAAGGGCTGGGATCAGCTCGCTACACCAACTGGCAGAAGGGAACCATTTTGTACCGCCACAGCGGTTTGAAAACGTCCAAACATAACACGGGACATTAATTTGGTTTTCTTCTTTTACCCAGTCTCAGCCAGACAGCCTTATTCAACAAGAGCAACATATCATTTATAGAAATTATCATTCAATGTTACAGTAGTTGTTTACTCACAGAAGGAGCGGGTGCCCAAGGTGCATACTCTGCAAACAGAGACCTTACAAGCAGCCTTAATGTGTGTGCAAATCCTGGTATTGGTTATGCAGCTGAGTATTCAAAGTCTGGTAAGAAGTTCATTGTACTGGGCTATGCCACAGTCACACAGAACCTGCTTCAGCCTTCAAATTAACTTGGAGTTTATCTTTTCAAAAAGACCAGCTCCGTATGTGACCAGTTGCCCACTTACTCAAGGACAGAGCCATGAGCCGGGCAGGCAGAAGACCAAGTGGAGGTAACTCCCTTTTCAGTGCTATCAACACACAGACTTGGTGGCAAAAAAAGCATCTGAAACAAAGTGCATTGGGAATATGCCGAAAGCACTGCCCGTCTCCACTTCACTTACAAGCAGGTCCCTGGCAAAAAGCCATGATGTTCTGCAGTAGCTGTAATTTCCTGAAGAGAAATACTAAGGCCACATCAGCAAACTTTTCATCAAACCAAGAGTATGTTGGGTGGGTGACCTGGGCTCCATTCGCTGCTCTGCAGCTATGCAAGTATACACTACTGTGCCTTGAGCTCTTGGTTTATAAAATGAGGCTGTGAATTATCTGCTTCTCTGACATACCACAGTAATTCATCCATTAAGGCAAACAATGCTTGGGAACGGTGTAAAGTAATACTTCGAAACTGGAGACGAGAGCCATATTCATCAGAATTCCCACTCAAAGAAAGTGCCTTAACAAAATGCTCTTGTCAAATTTGATTAGAAAGTGGGTGATAACATCAGCCTTATTTCTCATAAGTAAAAGGCAACTCTGCAAGGAAAACGTGCTTTTGCTCTCATCTTCCCTGTCTCTCCCTATTCCTGCCTCAGCCTGTAAAAGACCAAAAACCTTTTTCATGTAAGAGAATTAAACGAAAGCCTGTGGACCACGACACTACAATGAGTCGGCAATAAACAATTTTCTTTCGATGCTTGCTTGCCATTCAACCTTGCAGAGAGACAACAGGGAGAGACTGTAGGAAAGAGACTCAATTGTTTTATTGGAGTCATTATGTTTGTATTTAATAATGATCATATATCAAGGAAATGATTATTTGATGAAATGTGCAGCTGTACAACTGCACGGCCTCTGTATACTCCAAACAACCCACTACAATCAACCTCTTATCTTCCTCCTCTCGCTTCACTGTGTTGAGCAACCCCAGAAGGCTCAGAAGACGACTGCCTTTCAGGAAATGCCTTTAAGGCTCCAACTTATTAACGAGCTCATCTTTATCTTCAAGGGCAGAGTCCAAATGTGCCAGCTACTTCCCTCT